CTTTTTAAAAGTTATATAAAAAAAGGTGCTTAGAATAAGTTAAAAAATAAACTTTGCCTGCGGACCTAAATTGCATTTTTATTCCTCCTATTTTGGCCTTCAAAGATCGAGTGAAATCTCCGTTTCCCTTTTTTTATAAAAATGTTTTTGTTTTGTGTAATCTTTTGCCTTTGCCCAGTGAGGCTGGACTGGGCCATTGAGTTTGGTCATAAACGTTTTATTTGTCAGTTGCGATTTGTGAATAATGGAACCACTGGATGGATTGAACTTTATGAAAGTAGAAGCCCAAGATTAACTAAAAATGGTTATGGGCTTCCCAGGCCAGGTCTCCTTCCGATATAAGTCTCTCTTGGGCCTATAGCCTGATTACTGGTTCATCTCAATGTTTTAAGTTATCAAATCACATTGAATAAATTTTTGGGTGCTTCATGGTTGTGACCTATGGTCCAAAATTTAGGTACAAGCCTCAAAACTGCCATATGAGCTCATTGATCCAAATTAAATAAATCTTTTTCTTCCTCCTCGGGGTGGAATTGCAATTCCTAATGCACCTTAGTATTCCTTGGATTATTAAATTACACAAAAGTTGCAACAAAGTGCAGTAGTAGTAGTCCCCTATTGTCAGCATACTGGTCCATGAGATAAGAGATCCAAATCCCAAAATCCAAGAAACTAAAGTGGCATTGAATTTCCCCTGGTAATTGCAGAAGTTAAAGCAAATTCATACTGAGATCGAATTACATTAAGTTTAACAATTCAACCCAAGAAACAAGATTCATAAACAAAGAAACATACCCCAAGCCTTCCTGGCACCAGTTCTCCATTTGCAGTAGTCATATCTACTCCCTGTAAGATGGTAAATCAAATTAAGATAAACGCCACAGATTTTTCAAAGTTTCTGTAATCCAAAAGGCTTCACAGGATCAGGGCTTCACTGTAACAGTGCGATATCTGCTGGAAAAACAGATCAGACATAACATGGCACCAAATAATGTTAAAAATGAAACTGCAGCATAAAAAAATACTAACACTATGGCTTAAAAAAGATCTGAATTAGTTGTTATATCCTGACTTGAATCTGGGATTTTTGCAAGTAACAATCTTTCCTGAAGTATAATTATATCAAATGAGAAAATAATATAGGGAATGCATAACGCAGTGCAAAAGGAACCTGATTTATGCAGAAAGGAAATATTGCCTATGATCAAGGGCAACAACAAATGGCAATTTATATATCAAGTATTAGCCCCAAAAGAATGGTAAAAAGAAAAAACCTTATCAAGAATGGTGCGCTGTGTAGAAGGGAAAATTTGACCTTTTTTTTTAAATTTGTTAGGATGTGGGTTTGGACTGCAGAATATGGAAGCAAGGGAAAAGGAAGTCAACAATGAAATTTAAAAACAGAAAAATGAAAAGGGTGTCGACCATGAAGCTTGAAATTACAAATAAGTTAAGAAAAAATGAATCTTTTGAAAGTTCTCTCCCTGATTCAGGGGGGGTATGGTATAGGGTAATGGTGAAAAGGAAAGAATGTATAAGAAAAGGAAATTCGAATCAAAATGGAATTCTAATTAATACAAAGAATTTGACATTCCATTTTAGTCAATATAATCTGCAACTAGAGATTCATTTCATCAATGAATTCCCACTGGATTCAACTCCATGCGGCTTAGCAACATGTCACGGACCGCGAGCTCGGACGCCCAAGAAAAGGGTCACGACGCCAGGATCGCGGTGCAATGTCGTGGACTCAATGGCCTGGCGCGCTTATGATGGCATGGTCGCAAGCGGGAACAGTGTCGACACTCCGAGAACAAGCCAAAATCATGGTGTCGACACCTGTGTGACGGATTGGAACGGCCCAAAATGTTCTAGAAGCTGCTGGGCGCGTGGGAATCACACTAGAAAGGGGTCTGGACGGGCCCATTGGGCCTAACTCATGTAAATATCTTCTAGGGCCTTGTAGATAGTTCTAGAAATGGATTGTTCTAGAATATTATAGGTTAGGCTAGGAGGGAGGGTTTGAGAGTGTTCTAAAAAGTGTAAATATGAGAACTCTTTGGGAATGTTCTAGAACCTCTACCTAGAGTGGCTGGCCTCATCTATAAATAGGAGGAGCCTCTGAAGGCAGAGGGCACTAAGCCAAGCATTGCCCAAGCTCTTGTAAATCTCCTTGCGTCCAATAAACTCTCATTTCCTCCCAACTTCCAACCTTTGCATTTTAAGCTTCACAAGCCTCTTTGTCCCATAGGTGGATTGTGCCCAGCACCAAGGGAAGGCTGACTTGGTTTGGTTAAGGGGTGAAATCCAAGCTAAGTGCCGCACGGTGACTAGCAAGAGTCTTGTCTCGTGACAAGTGGTATCAGAGCGTGCTTTGACAGCCTAGTTACGTGGAGGAGGATCGTGACGATGGCAAGCTAGGGGGTTGAGGCTAGCAAAGTTGTAGAGGTTCTAGAGGAGAGGGGTCGTCGGGAGACCTGTGGGGGCGCTCGGAAGAAGGGAAGGTCTAAGGCATTGTCGCCAGCATCGCGGGATGCACTCATAGCCTTTGAGGGGAGGTTGGTCAAGGTCGAGCTAGCCATGGGTGATGTCCATAAGCAGCTAGACACTCTTGATTCTCGCATGGAGGAGCAAGGGGACAGGGGCGGCAGTGTCGAAGAGCTTGAAGGCAAGCTCCAAGGTGCCCTTAATTTGGTTGTCGCTGACATGCATAAGGCCATGGAGGAGTTTTGCGGGTCCATTGCAACAGAGGTGAGCGCAATGAAGGCGGAGCTCAGCGAGGACAAGGGGGACCTAGCCTTGTGCAAGGCCGCCATGGCAGCTGGCGTTGCAGCTAGCGGTGCGCCCAACGTGGCACCCAAGCTGAAGGTGCTTGAGCCGCCCAAATATGGAGGTAAGCACGACTCTAAAGAACTCGATAATTTCTTATGGATGGTTGAAAGCTACTTAGATGCTATGAATATTTTCGATGATTCTGCAAAAATTCGTATGGCCACCATGTATTTTGAGCATGATGCTACCCTGTGGTGAAGATGCCGACATGCTGAGATGCAACGAGGCTTATGCAACATCAACACTTGGGAGGTGTTCAAGGGGGAGTTTCGGAAGTAGTTCTACCCCAAGAATGCTGAAGAGGCTGCCATGAAGAAGCTTCGTGTGCTCAAACATACGGGGTTGATCAACGACTACATCAGGGAATACAACTCCTTAATGCTTGAGATCCCCGATATGACTGAGAAGAATCGGCTCCTCTACTTCATGGATGGACTACAACGGTGGGCCGAGCAAGAGCTGAAGCGCCGTGGCGTTCAGGACCTTGCGTCAGCCATAGCAGTTGCCGAATCACTTATCAAGTTCAGCAGCGAACCTCCTAAGAGAGGCAAAGAGAAGAAAGGTGGCTCGAGCAAAGGTGGGGGAGACAAACCACATAAGGCCTATAAGCCTTTCAAGGGCCCAGGAAGGCAGGTGATGGCAGCAAGGCGCAACCCAAGGTGAGGCGGGATTGCTACCTGTGTGGTGGTTTGCACTGGGCAAGGGAGTGCCCGCAGCGGAACAAGCTTAACGCCATCATCTCAGTGGTTGAGGAGCCGTCCCAAGCGGGGGAGACGCATTTGGGAGCGATGCAAGTCCTCAACGCCATACGGGCCAAGGTGCAGAGTGGGGGTGACGCCAAGGCCTGTGCCGTAGCAGAACAGAAGGGTGTCGGCAAGACCCTCAAATACGTTACTGTCAAGATCAAAGGGGTAAGCGTCCGTGCTCTATTGGATAGTGGTGCTAACCAAAATTTGATTGCAGTAAGTCTTGCGGAGAAGTTGGGTCTGCCATACAACAAGGAACCATGATGGGTGAAGGTGGTCGACAATCCTTCTCAGCCCATCTGTGGCGTTGCACGCGGGGAGCCCGTGCAAATAGGCTCATGGTCGGGGAAGGTTGACTTGAACGTCATAACCATGAGCGACTTCAAGCTGGTGTTGGGTGGTGAGTTTATCGACCAGCTATTGCCTTTCACCTTCACCAAAGATGGCTGAATATGTTTTGAGGACGAGAACAAGAGTCACAAGGTGCCACTGGAGCAACTACCCGCTGGAGACCGCGTCCTCTCGGCTATACAAGTGTCCCGAGGCATCAAACGAGGTGAGGACACTTATCTAGCTGCTTTAAAGGAATATAGTACCTCGTCTCTTGATGTCCCACAAGAAGTTCAAGGCATTCTCCATGAGTTCGAAGATGTGATGCCCCCGGAGTTGCCAAAGAAACTTCCACCAGGGAGGGAGGTCGACCATGCCATTGAGCTGGAGAGCCTGGTTCAAAACCACCAGCAATGGGTCCATACTGCATGGCTCCACCTGAGTTGGAGGAATTCTGGAAGCAACTCAAAGAGCTACTAGATGCGAGGTTCATCCGTCCCTCCAAAGCACCCTATGGTGCACTAGTGTTGTTCCAGAAGAAGCATGACGGGACCCTCCACATGTGCATTGACTACCGGGCGCTCAACAAGATCACAGTGAAGAACAAATATCCCATTCCTTTGATAGACGACCTGTTTGATAAGCTTGGGAAGGTACGATGGTTCACCAAGCTCGACTTGAGGTCGGGGTATTGGCAAGTGAGGATAGCCAAAGGGGACGAGGCCAAGACCACCTTTGTGACGCGTTATGGTGCATACGAGTTCCTGGTGATGCCTTTCGGCCTCACAAATGCTCCAGCTACTTTCTACACCTTGATGAACAAAGTCGTCCACCCATTCCTTGACAAATTCGTGGTTGTTGACGACCACTTAAGATTTTTTCAAAATAAATTGAAAATCATCAAGTGTGAAATATATAAGAAAAAGGGAGTCGCCACTCGTCCAAATTATAAGGTGGGACAAGTCACCTAAAATGGGTCTGCGCAGAGATCGGGGTTCGAGGGTTCGGTTAGGAGTGAGGAAGGGCATACGCGCACCACACAATCCTCCGTTTAAACACGGTTGCATACTTTAACATTGGGGGTTTTAATTCAACTTATTTATTATGTTTATATTTGGGTCTTAATAGACAAGCTTAAAAAAGAGATAAACCAAATTGCAACATTTTTAACATTTTGGACTAAAATGGACGAAATCAAAGACATGCATGCACAATGAACACAAGTACAAATTGAAAGGACTGATTTGATAAAAATAGAGGACTGATTTGAAAAAAAATTGAAACTTTTAGACTAAAGTGCTTGAACATGAAAAGATTATGCGAAATTGAAATAAAAGAGATTACTTTTGATTTTTTTTTTACTTTTTAACCTTTTTAGTTTCCTTTTTTTTTTTTATGACAGACATACTAGATTGGGTCGGGTCGGATTAACTTGACCCAAAAACACAAAACAATTCACCAACATATAAAAAAGGATCAAAAGTAAGACAGAAACAAAAATAGGATCTGCACAGCAACAAAATGAAACTTAGGGTTCATCTATTACAAAAAA